TGAAAAAAAATCTGAAGATCACAATGCTTTCAAATCCTTCCTGCAAAGTGATTTCTCCAGAAATCAATCCCTCTCTACTTGCATAATCCTTTATACACCTGTTAAAATCCAAGCTCTTTAGGAAAGCTTCTGCAGCTTTGAGTATAAGCCACAGCATTGATTACAGAGCCTGCATTTCCGTACTTACATCTGACTATTGTGAAGTACCACGGATCCCATAAACAACACATGATGCTTTGTCAAAGTGACTTTAGTAGTGAGGGAAAGCTTTTTGAAGAAACTACTGGTAACTCTCAAATTTTAAACTTAATTGTTTTTCAAAATATGTATCTATGTGACTGTACAAAGGTTTTCATTCCTGTAAAACTAATCCAAGTCAGAATTCTCTAGATTACATTTTTAAATATTCCTAATATATATATATTTTACATTTTATTACCACATATATGCACTGTATTAGCTATCTTAGCTTGTTTGGTAAAAAATACAGTAATTTCAACCTCTTCAATTGAGAGCAGTTGACATGAACAATACAATACTATACAGTGTAGTCTCCAAAAATTGAGATGGAAAGAAAAGATCTAATATTTCTGTCGAAGGATCAGCCCTGCAGTGTTATCAATGTCATTTAATACTCAGATAATTCCCTGCCTTCTGAGCAAATTAGTCAAAAAAAGACTTAAAATAGCAACAACAAAGTGCTGTTGTTTCTCCCTATCATCTTAACCTACATTGTTTACAACTGAGAGGTATGCAGCTAGGTATAATCAGGTGCTATGCAGAGAGGAAATACTCTCTAAAGGGAGCCAAACTCCTTGCTCAAGAGAGCAAATTTTCAAGCCCAGTTTGATCCACTCTCTCTTGCAGATTTTCAAACAGGGTCAAGCAAGAGTTGATGTTGACTGCTCTCAGATGTAAGCTTGAACCTCACCCATTGTCTATATATAGTGCTTTGGGGCATGTGTTCCTCACAGCCTTGATTCCTCCAATAAAGAAGTGGGAATCATTAAGTAGCTGTCCAGTAGAAAAGATTCCTTCCCCTCTTTGTTCTGCTTATCACCATTTCCCATGCATTTACATGTCTCTTATTATGTATTTGTGGGGCACAGAGCCAAACTCCGAGTGACTCTAGAGCATGAGGGCCAGGGGAGGATCCCAGAACATACGTAGAGCGCATCCGCAGGGCTCAGGAGTCATGCTGCGCTCCCAGTTCCCTTTGGCATCTGTCCGTTTCATTACGTAAAGGACACGTAATGGTTACTGTATACTCACCTCTCTGTCAGCCCACTACTTACTAAATAACAAAGGCAGAGTTGCACTGCCTCGATGATTAACCTGGAAGTGCATGTTTCAGGTATCACTAACAGCCTGACCAGTAAGAGCTCATTTGAGCACCGTACAGCGTGAACAATATGGTATATAGAGCATACATAGCATATACAGCATCCTGGTCCTGAGACTTAAGCAGCACAAAAAGTAGCAGTGCACGCCGTTCACAGAGACAACAAAAAGGGGCAGTGCTGTCACCATCTCTGGACTAGCTATAAACACTGTTCTGCAGTCCTCACATTTGACAGAAGGTAAAATATTTCAACAGCCTTTCATTCAACAGGTTCTCAAAACGAAAGAGGATTTTCCACAGAAGGCTGGAGGCAAGTTATCCTTCCATGCAGTCATCATCATCAGGGGTGCTTCGTAATTGTGTTGGTATGTGATTAAGTGCTGAGACTGAATTCACAACCAGCAATTAAAGGGAGAGAAGGTCACAAGCCAGCGAGCACTTGCACTATAAACCTTTGGATTTACAGCATCAGTCCAGATGCGAACAGAGTCCTCTGAGTGAACATGTCAGGATTAATGTCAAGAATAGAAACAAACTTAAAGAACAATGGATATAAGTTTTACTTAAACTGATAGGTTTAGGTAGAGAAGCTTGAAATCCTTGTGCAAATGAGATAAAAAACCATTTTTTATTCCAGCCTTTGTGTAGGCCTGTTCTTATGAAAGTACAGTAAGCATTATCTGTGTCCCTTTTCCTGTTTATTTTTTTAATCTATCACTTATACCTGCCACAGTAGCTGTACTGAGGGTGTAAACCCCCTCATGCCACCCTGCATATCTGTATAATATCTTGAGGGGATCGGATCCACGACCACAGTATCAAAGCATTCAAGTAGTCAAATACACAGCTAAAATCTCTACTAAAGATGACATCTGTAGTCCAAGAACAAGACCTCAGTGAAATATAAAGCTGCTCTGTGAGCAGCAGAACTAATGAAACCAAATTTCTGTTTTAACTCTTCTCTTCCTCTGATGGACTCTTTAGTGCTCAATAAGAGTGAGCTTACACAGAAGCTCTTCTCTCTGCTAAGAGGTGAGATCACTCTGAAGCCATTCCTTGCCCAGACCTACTAGTAAGCCTTCTTTGCACTATTCTTACTAAATTCTTAGGAAATACTTTTCTCGGAGATTTCTATCTTTCTAACAAATCTGGTGGAAACTGGAATAGTTCCTGCCCAAGAAGGAGATAAATGCATGCATGCAGTCACAGCATGATTACATAGGATTTGTTTCCTTAGGCAAGCAAGCTTAAACTTGTTCTGCAGAAACACTACTAGAACTGCAGGTACTCAGAAGTCAACACGAGTCTGATAGTACCATGTTTACTGCGCTATGGGAGTACAGTTTACTCAAGGTAAGTATGAGATAAACTTTGAAACTTAAGCACATTTAAAAAGAAAGGAAATTCTTAGTGCCCAACTATGAAATAGCTTCTCTGAAAATACAGTCCAACACACCTCAAAAGTAGGGCACCAGAAACAGAAGTTTCTAACTTATGTGACCACTTTCAAAATATCATAGCCTAAGATAAAACGCATTTAACAGAATGTTGATAATTTACAGAAAATTCAGGATATTTGTGCACATAGGTATTAAGACACAACTATAAATGTATTTGCTATAATCTCTGTATCATTTTTACACAGTTTCTAGGACAACTAACTACATACATATTAAAAAAACCTTATAAAGTTTTATAAACTTACGTATTTCGCAGTTTGCGCCAACCCACCCATGTGGACAGTGGCAGGTATAACCATTGGGCTGATCTATGCAAGTTCCAGCATGGTGACATGGGTTGCTGTCACAGTCATTTATATCAATTTCACACTCTTCACCTTATATCAGAAAAAACAACAACAACAAACTTCCATATAGCGGCTGTATCGTATCAGGTACGCCATCAATGTTATTCGATTTTCCTCTAGCTGCCTGATAGCTTACTACTCAACGGCATTCTCAGGATATCAAAATTATTCTATAAATGTTTCAAGAAATAAGTCTCTCAGAGCCTCCAAGAAGGATATACTATTTTCAGTCAACCAGGTGAAAACAAAATCTGAAGGCTGAGTGCCTTGACAATCTGACTCACTCAGACTGTCTCTAATTTCTTTAAACAATAAACATGTTTGTCTTTCCCACTTAAAAGGGTTGTAACAATTTACCATGTATATTCTCAAGTTCTATACAGTAATTACAACTATAATGTAGATAATCAGTGCTGCAGAGAAACAGCCATTGTACAATAGAAAGCCAAATCTTTTCTTAGAAATTGCACTTTAATTATCACAGAACTAAAAGCATCATTTGATCTACAAAACAGCTATGAATGGATTCATCCGTTACTATCAAACTGGATATTACCTCATATGACTAATAGAGCATCAGGCTGTAAATTATCTTGACAGCAGATATTTGGATTGCACCGATCATGTCAGTTTAAATACAATGCAAAAGGATTAAACAGGCTGCTTATCATTACTCTAAAACTGTAAATTGATTCATAACTAGCACTTTAAGGCTCTTAGCAATTGCATATCAAGGTAACAGAATGAGTTCTTTCCTCACCTCACAGTAACTAATAGGTCGAGGTTAACGCATTTGCCAGTTTCAACAGTGTCCAATTAGTGTACTGGCTTACCTGGTAGCGTCTTCAAAATGTTATTTTTGAAATGCAATCTAGTCTCAAGCAAAAATGTCATAAGGACTGTTAAACAGGTGTTAGCTTAGTGAATTCTCTTTAACAGATATTTTGCTGCAAATGTTTCAAGTTCAAAGCAGTTTTAACATCAATGACTTTTCATTCTCACAGGACTGATTACAATTCAGCAATGTCAAAATTAATATGTTTTCCTCAAACAAATATAGCGTTATTTGGCATCTGGGCACAGTGAATAACAACTAAACATTCTGTGTAATTCACAATTACTTGCCTGTATATCCAGGTGAACAAATACAAGTAGCATTTAGACCTTCACTGTCACAGGTGCCACCATTCTGACAGTTGATGTTAACACAAGGATCTTTGTACAATTCACAGTGCCTTCCTGAAAAGGTAAAGTTAACAACCGCTGTTAACCATACTGACAGTCTGAAATCAGTATGTGCGATGTCTTAACTCCACCTGGATGAGAGCAATGATGTACAGCTTCAAAGCCTAATTGTCCCCTGTGACACTCATCAAATGACAAGACATTGAAGTCACTGACAAGTAAGTCAGGGTAAGATTAGCCTTTGCAAATCAGTGCTAAAGCCCTAAGTTTTACGGTGCTTAAACTTTAACATGCATGCCGCCCCTCACCCACCAAGGACAAGGGAGTTAAAAGAGCTAGGGCAACTTCTGCTCTCTAACAAGAACTGGTGGACGATCTACGGAAAAGCAGTGGCATAACAAAGCACAAGCTGATCAGCTACTCTTCAATATAATTTAAACAGTAATTGCCCTCAGTAAGAAGTTTATGTAATAACTTTTTAAATAATGTACATACATAGTCTGATGCCTCTCATTGACTTTTGAGGAAACTGAGAAGAAATATCATTTAATAAGCCAATAAAATGAGAAATCAATTTATTCAAATATAAAGCTAAAAATGAACACTTAGGCTGGTCAGCTTCAAGTCTGTCTTCGATTTTTCATTTTCACATGTAAGCTAGGTGAATTCATTAGTTTTGCTTTGCAGAAGACGGTACAATCTGGAATACAGAATTAAAAGCACAGCAGACTGCCACCTGGGGACGGGAGGCAGATTCTGATGCCACTACTTCATGCATCATTTTCTCCGAGTCTACTTTCCAGACAAAAATAGAAAAATCAACATGTGAATGATCTAATCAGTACATGGATGGCAAAAAAACATGAACAAATAAATGTAGGTATGTGAATAACGAAGGATTGGGGGGACGTGGTATATAATTTATCTACTACAGAGAAATTCACTTGTATTCAAAATACCTGCTTAAATTTATCCATTAATGTTAGATTTAAGCCTAAGCCTAGGTCTTATTAGCATTCTTTGCTTGGGAATGAATCCAAAATGACCATTTGGCTAAAATCAAAAATTATCTTCAAGTTTTCCTGATCTTAAGCTTACTGCAGCAATTCCAACAAACTAACCAAAAAGCAGGACAGGATTCTGAATGCTTCCATGTAATTACATCTACAAATCACAAGCACACATTTTTCACTTTTTAAGATGGCTCATCTTTCTACGTCCTTTCCATCCTACAAACTGTAAAGATGCAGACTCAACCAAGAGAAGGAAGCATAAACTCATATTGTTTATTATGTATAAAAACTGCAATACAACTTGGACATCAGGAAAACATTTCTAGTGACAAGGCAGTGAAGGACACTGATGGAATACGTTGCTTGTGGAGATTACAGAACCTGCAGTGTTGGAGGACTTCAAGAAGCGGTTAGACAAATGCATGTAAAAAATGGCAATACATGTAGCTGATTCTGCCTTACTCCTTCCCAGCCTTGTTCATGAACACCAATTTTATTGCAAGGGAATTGGAAAGTCTGTGAATTTGAAGTTGCAGAGTTTGAGAAATAGAACTATATATGGGTAAAATTAGTGAGAAAACAGAGCCATTTGGGGAAAGAATATGGGAAAGAAAAGTAATACAAAAATGTAAGAAACATGGCAGATGGACACACACAATGAGTGAACAGATTAAAAGTAATGAACTTGATTCTCTAACATTCAACACAGCAGCATGTAGAACAATGTAAATGTACTAAAGTCACATAAAAACAGTCATTTAAAGTACATTTAAGAGCAATAATTAAAAAGTTATGAAAAAAGAATGTATTTTAAATACGTATTTATATTCATTATACACCTCCTGAAATCATTTGGTCAGCCTGTCAGTAACAATAAGGCAAAGCACTCTAGTTTGGGCAGCAGAAGCTGGCAGAGCAATAAGCCCACATGCACATGCTGCCGTAGACTTCAGTTCAGATCAGCGGTAACATCTCTGGTCTACTTGCCAGACAAGACACCCTGAAAAGGCAGGCAGGGGGTGTAGAGGAGTAAGGGGGACAGCAGACAGGGAGGCCTGGGCTGGTATTGCTAAAACTGAGGCCTCTAATTGCCCACAGAGTACCTTGAGGCAGGGTACCTCAGCTCTATTCTTTAGCATCAGTCAGCACTGGTGCAGTCTGGAGCAAGAAAGCAGGTGCCCCGAACAGCAAAAAGCGCTTGCAGGAGCAGGTTCCCTGCTGAATGAACTTCTTATAAGTCAGGTGCTATACATGCAGTGCTTTCGCCTGCATATACAGCTAGGTTGAGAACATAACAAAGTCATAACGTTATGGTTAAGGGCTCTTTAAACTGTCATGAAAAGCTCAGGGTCATTTCCTCACTAAGCCTCTGGAATGATGAATTCTTCATCTGTTGTCAAAGAACAGTGCGATCACCAGCATGCAATATATATTTAGCCTCAAGCAGTCGCTAACTGAGTAGTACTCCTCAACACAGATAAGGATTGATATTCTTAATGAGAGAAATGCCTGAGTAATGTTCCTTAAAACACAGTCATGCCAAGTCAAAAAAAAAAAAATATATATATATATATATGTAATAGCAATATCAGATAAAGTTATTTTCAAAATGTTCTCACAGCATGATTCAAAGCAGAACACACAGAGCAGCATTTTAGCCCTGCAAAGAGGGACGTACCACAGCAAGCTGACATGTTACTCTATCTAAAACTGAAATCTACTGCAAGATAAATGATTTTGTAAAGCAAAATGTGTACTTTTTCCTTATTTTATAAATTACTTAAAAAATTCTAAAAGCTGATCCCATTATAACATATATATGATTAGACTCATTTAACATGGGAGAACAGCCCCAGAACTACTACTTTGCCCAGGGTTTATTCTTTCTTTATTTTGATTTCAACCAAAATACTTCCATATCGACTCCTTCAGGCTAAACTGTTTCAAGTACCAGTCTTTCATTACTGTGTTTTTAACTCACTTCACTGGAGAAAATCCAAAAAACGATTTGGGAAGCCCTCCACATAATGACTCCCATCATTAACTGATGAAAAATTTTATCTAACATTTTCTTTTAAAAATCAATCACATTCTAACATGTCTTAAGAACAGCTGAAAAAGGTATGTCTAAGACAAACAGAGAGAAGCCATTTGTACCCTTAAAAGGCCATACATTTCTCACATGAGCAACCAACTATACAGACCAGCTAAATCGGAACTACTTATTTGAATAAAGATTATGGCATCAGGATCTACTTTTGTTTCCATTTACTTTAGCTCATTTATTTCTTCACAATGGAGGGTATTGAATATCTCTGTAACAAAGCCTACGATAAAAAAACATGCAGAAAAATTCAGAAAGTTAGAGGTAAGACCGCATTTTACCTTCATATTCAGCAAGGCACACACAGTCATAGCTATTGACAAGGTCTCTGCAGGTGGCTCCATTCTGGCAGGGTGCAGAAAGGCATTCATTATATTCCTCTTCACAGTAAAGGCCATGGTAGCCTAAATCACATGAAGAGGAAATAAAACATGCTATGAAACACTTCCCAATAACAGTCATCAACTAAGCCACTATAGATTGTGGGCAGATGTTTGCTAATTGAAACACGCTGTGCAGAGAGATAAACATTAACACATCAATTTTAAGGACATCTGCCCCCCAGCTAAAATTCCCCCCCCCCCCCCAAAAAAAAAAAAAAATTAAGGGGGTACAATGTACTGAAAGAGCCCTCCTCAGTCACTTCCATTGTGGTAAACAGCAGCGAGGCAGTAAACACAGTGGCTGGTGACCAAGGCCACTATTAACAAGGCAAATTACTGCACTCCGATTGTAAAATGGAATAATCTAATAACCGCATATCTGCCACTTTTCTTGGACACTCACATCACCACAACTTTTCATCAGTGATGCTAATTATACAACAGGAGTTGGAACGATAATGTATTTTAACTTCAGTGCTGTACAATGGTGCTGTCAAAGCACCAGAGAAGCATTAAGATGCTCAATATTCAATTTCCCAAGCGGTAGGCAGGCATTATAGTCTGATTATACAGACAGAGAAAGTAGAAACACAGAAAAGCCATGAGACCTGCTAACAGTCACTTACTACATCAATCATACCACGAGGTAAAAAAGCAGGAGTTAATCCACTTGAACTAGTGCTTTTTTCATGATTTGGTGTATCATATGATCATCGATCTTAACAGCAGTTGAAATTACCTTCTATATACAGTGCATCAAGTCAAAGTAGTACCTACCCATATTAAATAACAGCATAAATTAGTATAGTGTAACAGAAGAAATAAGTAGTTAAAATGCTAAAATATGTTTGCTTGATAATATGGATGTTATTAGTATTACTTGGTATCAAATACAAAGAACTATAAGCCTGATCACCTTAAGGACAATTATATTTGATATCAAAAAGCTTATTTCATTCTTCTTTAATAAAAATGTAATCTGGATCTACTGATGAAAAGCTTCCTCTCTTCTTTCTTCTACTTCAGCTACACTTTACTTTTTTTTTTTTTTTTGTAAGCTAGGGGCTTTCCAATTCCAATAACAATGTCTAAATATATAGCCAAATAATACATCAACAAAACAAAAAATGTCGCTCATGACGCTTAGTAAGTAGAAATAATGTATTTAAAAGCAACATAAACACTACTTTCTCCCCGACAGATAAGTATTGGCAGAGAAGACATGTAAAACTGCTGGTGTGTTTGACCAATGAAAAAAGTACTAAACAATTTGCTGAAGTCTTTCTGAATAGTTTTCCCATTGCTCCCTTGAGGGTGCAGGGATTGCTTCATTTATAAAGCTAAATTGTCTTTATGGACAGGTTTAGAACTTAAATAATAGTGATTTTTCTATTATGTAAAACAGATTAAACAAAATACGCTTTTATCTTTTCGAAAGAAGTAACGAGTATGTTTGTACCAAAACATTCGTCTTTCATAACGTTTACACTCTTCTTGGAAATTTTGGCAAAGGACTGAGCGAACAAACTTTTATGTTTTCTGCTACATCTGTTCAACTATTAACTACCTTCTGCTAACAACTGCTAGTCATAGCGTCTGACTTGGGGCATCATGCAGCCTACCCAATCAAGGACCAGGAAGTTAACATCAACTGCACCACCCAGGTAATTAACACACAGATAATTGCCTCAGATGTGTCAGCAAATGGTTTGGGTTCAAAGGGTAGAACCATCTCATCTTTAGCCATCCATGAAAAGGTGAAGGAAGAAATTCTAGCGCGCGTACTATTGCCAGAGGGAATGCCAAAGATGCTTTGTATGAAGTGATTATTTCACCTTCTTTTTGCTTTTGGACTGCGCCTGGAAATAATGTAGAGTAGGGATATTTTCTTTACCTGTTTTAAATAGAAGCTTGCTTATATTCCTTCAAATCTGCTCAATGTTTTTGAAGGTCTATGTTACACATGAAAACAGGCAGTTTTGAATATGCCTTCACATTAAAACACTGTTTCACAATGAACAGTCATGCAGAGAAGCTATGTCACTGTACCTTAGCACTGCATTAGGACACCCTTCCCACCTCTACCATGGATTAATTTCAGTTAAACCAGTTATTAAACATCTAACTTTCCTGACTCTTCACAGCTGATGTCCCCTTCTCGACCTCCTACGAGTGTGATGTAATATCATGAAGACGCATTTGTAATCTATAATATTGTGCATTGGAACAGTGTTTATATGCTTTTTAAAATCTTGATTTGCTCATTACATATACCTATAAAAGCAGTAATATATGAATGAAGATACCATGAATAAAGATGCCATGGAGAAGGTGGTCTGAAATACAAAGCGCAAACTCCCCATTGTAATTGTATTTCTTCAAATAGTCTCTAGTTAGTAATAAAACTTATGGACATGAAATGAATATGTCTTTCATAAAAAAAGGAACCAAAAAGAGGGGCATATTCTGAACTTAATAACTGCCAAACTATATTCAATCTCCTGGTCTAAGTTTTTCCCCAAATTATCACAGAATCATAGAAAATAGGAAAAATGGCAACTCCAGGCACCATTTCTCTCTCCCAATTACAGATAACTAAAAAAATCAGTGTATGAAGGTACAATAGATGCTAGTAGGCCACAAGCTGTTATGTGCAATGTTACCCATTTGCTTTTGCACAGAACTGTCTTCTTATAGTAAACTTAGCTAGATTAGTGGCTTATTAAGAAGCATTTTAGAATCATGTTCTCCAAAGCTGTTAGCCAGGCAATACAGAATTAAACTAAACAGTACGTTAATTTCTATTATAGCTTATCTAGCTTATGATGAAACAAGATATCCTTAGGTAGTGACATCTGTAGCCAATGTACAAACCACAGAAATTTGAAAACTTAAAAAAAAAACATGTGGGATTTCCTTGTGTTCAATACAGGGGTAATTAGATATTTTGAGAACGTATGTTTTGACGTGCTGTTACAGTTTTCACCCCTCAAAGGGAACAGACTGAATTTTGTGACTGAATAGTTGTCTGTTTTCCAAAAATCAACATAAAATACCAATATCACCTCTTTGCTATGAGGTCAAGCACTGCACAGTAAGGGAAAAATATTTTCTCTCTCCACGAGAGGGCAGATCTCACCTACACACACTATTTCACCCTCACTGTCCTTAGCCTGGTACCAACAGATGAATTCTACTTGAATTATCTGTGAATGGAGGGGAGAAAAAAAAATTGAGCTAGGAGGCATTATATAATTCTTAACAAGTATTTCTCTTTTGTAGTGCTGCTTTTTAATGATACTGATGAATAAGCCATGTGTTATTTTGAATTCGTATATGTACCTTCAAAAATACTACATAAATCATTTCTATACTTTTATTAAAAAAATTAAACAGAAACAGGAGCACCTTTCATAGATAACTTTAGAATAACAGACTCTAGTATAGGTGCTCCCTCTTTTTCTAACACCACTATAAAGATTCCATTGCTTTTATACTCATGAGCCATGCCCAATGCAGCTGCTTGCATCTTTTGGGGCATACAGCTTTTCTATGGACGTATTTAGAAAGAAAGAAATGATATCTACATTGATATCACTTCTCCACATGCTGTGTTCTGAGCAGAAAAAGATATTTGACATTACAGCTTCAAAAAGGGCAACTAAAATTATTAAACTCATTTCTCCAGGTCATTACAAAAGTGAGTATTAGCACCTTTGTGCATGCAAGCAGAACTTGCTAATGACTGTCCCATTCTGATGGGCTCTCTTCAGGGGCTGGGGAACGGACAGGGAACCTGGGGGGCGGGGGGGGGAAGGAGGAGGAACAGCACACAAAAGGTGTCCCACATTACCTCTCTTCCCTCTAGGCAACTGTCGCATCTGCTGCTCTTCTTCATAAAGAAATAGCTCTATTGCCGCTCTTCTCTGGATTCCCAAATCTTTCTTTCTCTTTTTTTTAAGAAACAGGGAGGCTGCCTTGAAGAGGCTGGATGTTTGCCTTATGCTCTCTAGCACGGTCTACAGACAGCTACATGCTTAGGTGAACTCTCCTTGCTTGATGGCTACGTTAAAAATTGCTAACAGAGAGAAGGTGGAAAGGAACACACAATCTGGGTCAAGAAGGCTGACAGAAAGAAGCCATGGGCTTTGTTAAAACCTTCAAGAGCAGTTGATGGGGCAAAATATACGGCTGGGCTTGCTCACCCCTTGAGAATATCTGCACTACTAGGTTAACAAAAGACAAAGGGAGAGGCTTCCTCTACCTTTATAAATCAGTAAAGAACAAAGTAGAAAGCTCTTGAAGCTTTTCTTCCATGCTAGCTCCTCAGTAGTGATTCCCAGGGCTTATCTACACTTACCGCTTCAGCAAATCAAGATAGAAGGACAAAAGCCCCATTTTTGTGGGAAGGCCAAAGGGGATACAATGCAAAAGAACTGTGCTTTGCAGAGTACTCCATCAATTCATACATGATCCAAACTTAAACTCTTCAGAGAATTACGTATCATACAGTCAAGGAGGAAAAGTGTGTTCTGTTAAAATCTGAGACTACATAGTAATTAAATAAGTAAGAAAGAGAGAAAAGTTGCTCCAGATGGCAAGAAGGTAGGAAGGCATGCTTATCAGCCACGGCCAGATTGCATAGAGGGTTTTGTTAAAGCAGAGGTGAGAAGAGGATGATGAAACAGAGGCAAAAGAGGGTTCCCAGGCAGTCTGGAACTGGAATTAACCTAAAGCCACTTCTGACAGAGCTTGCATTTCCTTTCCCAGCTTCAAAATATGGGAATGGAAAAGACAGAGTAAAGAAAAATTGCTACTGCTACGGACAGATGTTGCACCTGCCTCTGCAGATGCACTGAGACAAACCTATGCTCCTATGCCTGTCTAATTAAGCTACATGAGCAAAAAGCCACAGTAAAAGAAACTTACTCCTCGGTGTTACATCTGAAGTTGCCACTACTCTCCATGCCCTGAAGAGAGCTGCTCCTCTTCTTAAATGTTCTGTCTGTGCTATTGTATAT